AGAAGACCAAATAACACACTACGTCTTGAATCGGAAGCAGACATGAGTAGGATGAATTCCATCTAGAAAGAGCTGGAAAGAATTGCCCGTGACAGGGTTGAACTGAGAGTACTGGTGGAAGGCCTATGCTCTTCCACAAGAGGTAACAGGCGTAATTCAGTAAGTAAAAGCGATCAGTTATAAATTTCTCCAGTCAGCTTTAATTAAAAATAGTAAGTTCAAAGTACATCTAGTGTTAGTAAAGCACAATTTATATTTCTTTAGTTAAGATCTTCAAATACTAGAAAGAATACTAAATTTATTCGTTAACCATAGTTCAATTGTTAAAAGACAGATAGTTAGAACCTGTCTAACAACAAGTACACTGTTTGTCCTAATAGTAAAAGATGTAGTATCGTAAGAGATTGTATTCAAAAAAATTTAACTTCATACAAAATATATTTAATACCAGGTGATTGTGTAGTTCGTGATTTTTTATGAAAGCAGTTGTATATCACAGTTAAATAACATTTAATATCTTATGTTACTGGATAACGATAACAATAAAAATTCTCCTGATATTTTAGGTTGTTCAAGAGTCCACACAAAATGCTATAATGCACATTACCTACTGTAGCGAACAGGAAACCGAGCGGGGGCAACCGACTGTCGTTGACACGACATTACAGAGCACCTCACTAAAATCTGAGAACCATACAGTAAATAGTTAATTTGCAAAATATCAATCAATTTGACTGTTCGTTTTGCAAATAACAGTCCATCGACTCAGATTTCATTGTTCGTGGATTTTCAGGCTAACTACATTACGTCCCTGTTCTTTCCTTTTTGATCTTCTACTGAAATACATTGCATTCCTGACTATCGTTATATACTACTTATGTAGATATAAATAGCTTACACCACATCTACTACCCAATTAGATCTTGTTTAGATCACATGCTTATAAATTTGTCTCATACATTAATTACATCCACTACCTAGTAGAATGAAACTAGTACACTGTAAACAATTTAGTTGAAAAAGTTAATGCCTAAAGCACTTTGTTTTCTAATTTGGCAAAAAAATACTGTAATTGTTTCACAACCTATTTAATACATCCATTTCAAGGACACTTACCTTTTAGATACATGTTTTTTTTATTAGTTTAATTATCCCACTATCTTTTTTCTCATTATCTACCAAATACTTTATCGGTGCATGTGTTAATGACAGTTTAAACAGGTTTTTTTCTACTTATTTCATCTTCATATTGTTTTGATCGTGATACAGCAATAATTTGATATAGATAATGAGTATGATTTCTAACTCTCTAAAAATTTAATAGTTTGTCATGTATATGTAAGTTCTCATGATTTCAACTTTCGTCCCAAGCGTTGTTGCTACCTTGACGTAATGAACAAGCTGGCCTATCAGGATGAATCAATTGAGTTATACCGGCTGGAACAATCATTCCTCAAAGTCCTATCATACCAGACAGGTAAGTCGGAGAACGGTAAAACTAACCTCAGCAAACCCAAGGTCCGTAGGCGAACTCGTACTGTTGATTGTACAGAGGTTTGATGGGAGTAAGCTGTTTCCTTCAGACAACCAGCATGACATCGATGCTGCCTTCCTACTAGTGGTGGGTTGGGGATAGAAAAGGTTGACTCCGAAAATGAGAACCTCGTCTTATCCCACGGATATTCGTTTCTGGAGTTAAGATCTCACCAAGTACGGAGCTAACACGACAATTACCAACAAAATGGTCATGTGTGACCGACCTCAAGCAGGTGTCCCTTGGGCACTGAGGTCATCCTCTCAGGTCACTAAGACCACCTCTAATCCAATTCACTTTTCAGGTACCTCCAGAAGAACCCTTCCATTGTGTGGGCAACCGGGAAGTGATAACCGCCCTCATACCTCTAACAGCACTCAAGATTTTATCTTTCGTGAATCTGATATCAATATTCCTACCAAAAATATATATTTCACTCATTTAAAAACTAAATACGTTTATGAATTTATTTTTTATACTGGCACAGCAACATATTCTATATTCTATCTATTTACTGAATACATTTTAAAAACATGACATTAAATTATATTTTGCCTACTTTATCAAAAGACATTAAAATTTCTGTTCACTTGTAATCCTGCTTAGTATTCTAATTGTCTGTGATTCGATTATGACTAATTTAGGACCTAGTACAATTGTACATTAACTTAATTTGTCATATCACATTAGCATGCTATGATGTACTTAACAATATAGAGATCAAAAGAGTCGAAATAATGAATAAGTATTTTATTCATAATAGTACATTTTTCACTATGTATTACAGCGGAAATAATAGTTACAAAATGCTTCTTATACAAAATTTCACTCTCCCTCTTGGTATACAGCCACTTGATGCCTACCCTAGTTTATCTTATTTATCCATTTAAGTTGATCACACGATGTTATATATCTGAACTCAGTGGTGTCGATTGTTAAGCCAGATATCATGTGTTAAGATTCTAAATCATTTATTAACATAGAAAGATCCATTTATGACATGTTTATCAACCCACTGAACACATTTGGATATAGTGACGAAGTTCTACCTAACTAAAGACTTTTGCTATGAATAGCTAGAGCTTTAAGTTTGAATTTTATTTGTTCAGTGATTCAATTGAATTGTTTTTTTTTAAGTTAACAAGTCCAGAAAAGGATATGCAGAGAGATGAAACTTTATGATGAATTCTACTTAAAACCATCTGATATATGAATACTTAGTATTTTATTGTTGGATGACTAGTGATGATCACTAGTAAATGAATCGTTAATCAAACTTTATCCTTGATGTTACTTTTTAGAGTGTCTGCCGCATAGACATAAAAGGTAAACATGAAAACTAGTACTAAATGTCTCTCAGAGTTACAGTGAAAAGGAATAGCAACTCTCTAACTTGTCAGAACTGTCTATTAATGTATGTTTGGCTGACCGATTTCAATTTACGGTTTGAACTGACACTATGTGAAGCCATCAGTTAATGTGTCTATGGATTGATGATTTAATTAGATATATTATGCAAAAACTCAATAATTTAATAACGGGTAATTTTCCTAATTCAAAATGATATGACAAAGCAATCATAAATATTCCATTTAAATGTGATTTACTTATTTTAAAGTCCAGAAAACTAAGTCACAATCGCGTAACTAGCCTATGGATCATGGGAACACTTGAAATAATTTTGAAAAACTTAATTACATAAATGAAAATCGTTTGCAATGGCGCAGGTGAATCCACTATTTGTGTTCTCCCGAATTCTTATCTTCTGAATTCGTCATGTCCATTTTTTTCTCTTTCCAAATTTATTTCACTGGATTATACTCCGTGAATAACTCTAACGTTTCCGATTACTGCTTGTACTCTTACAACATCTACCACTACGGGATTTGAATCGACAAATGCATCTCTGTGCTAATGTGGTTCGGCATTTCGAACGAAGTTCTACGTTGTTACTGATTGACTGACTAAAACTATTCTGAGTGAGTGAATCAGTTGGTATGCCAGAGAATCAAATAAAAAACCTAATGGATTATTGGTTTAGAAATTGACAACGAGAGAAGTGTATTTGGAGTTATAAGAAACCAGTGAAATGTAGATTAATGAATTAGTGATAGTGTTTATACGTACTTCTATGTAGGCAAGTTCCAATACATTTATTCACCAACGATTTAAAATAATTTCGATATCCTTATCTTGTATCAAATACACGATGTTCTAAAGAGATAACTAAAGAAGCTCAAAGTTTTTTGAACCAGTTGACAACTAGTGAAACACATGACATTAAACCGAATCTCAACATTTTTCTGTTAACTTCTCCACCCCACCCCCACCAAGTTTTTATTCACTACATCATAATTAGACAATGGTTAATTCAATTTTCTTCCAAATAATGTTTCAGATTTTTCAGTCTAACTGTTCACTTACACAGTAGTTCAGTCTTAAGGTCATATATAATTAATCTATCATCTTTTATCTTTATTGTATTACAAAGGCTTTTTACAGGAATGTATAAGAAATAATGAATATCAAACAATTTAAATCACTATCTCTTAATTCAGCTAACATGTAACTAACAAATGACTTGTTATAACTGAGATTATTAGATAAATTTAGTCAATTAATTCAATCATTGAAATTTTCGGTAGAGATTCGTTGAAAAGAAACCAGTGTTGACTAAACTACAGAAAAAATAGGTGTCTAACTCATAAACTTATGAGGCAAGATCGTGGATGAACACTGTTGAGAAGTCACATAATAGGATGTAGCAGCCGTCCAGTGCTTCCAAGTTTTCTATGGTGGTCTAGCTTCAATTAACTCATCATCTCAACTATTGAAATTACTACAATATTCACAAAGTCCCCCTCTGATACTAGTCTTATTCTTTATTATTATCGTCGATAGTGTAAAAATAATATTACGAAAATGAATTTAAATGCTATCTGTATTTTCATTATTTAAAGATTGACAGATTTTGTTTAAATGTACTTTCCTAGTTCATTCTCTTTGTCATTATGCGATGTACACATAGACATTTAACCTGATTTATAGTGAAGAAGTTCAGTATTTTGTTATAAATATTCATGAAATTTAATTACTTTTCTCTTAAATTGATTCATTGGTAAAACTGTCGACTTCGATAAACAATAATATATTATAATCGTTGAAATCATGAGTTAATTGAAGCTAGATTACCATGGAAAACCTGAAAGTACTGGATAGCTATTGTGGGACTCTTCAGCAGTACGCACCCACTATCGCACCTCACGAGATTCCAATCTAGGACCTGTCGGACTCGAGCCTGAACACTTAACCTCTAAACCACAACAGACAACTGAGGAGTCTCACAATAAGACGAAACGGTCATTCAGTGTATCAAAGTTTTCCATGATGGTCTACCTTCAATTAACTCATGATCTCAACTATAAAAATAATATATATTAGATAATAAAAAATTCTTTTTACTTACGTATGAATCTAAATGAAGTTTATATAGTTACATTGAATCTTGATCAAAAGGAATAGATGATGAATCATTCCATATATGTAAAGATTTTTAATGAAGATACAAAGAATAATAGAAATGGAAAAGAACTTGAAAGATACTGAAGTGTAAACATATTCATACTATTCAATAGTATACTCTATAAACCAACCAATCAGAGTACTCATTTCTTAATTCTTACTGGAGAAAATACTATTTGAATGAACCAATCAAATGTAAGATTTTCCAGTGTATTAATTTATTGATTTCGATTAGTGATTTTTTTTCTTATATTTACAATTAAGCAGTTATTATAAATTATAGTATTGATTTCCGATTTATTCCAAGGTCAAAACAAAAATGATCAAATTCGAAACAATATCAGCAGGAAGATTCTTTGATTAGTTTGATTTTCATGTAATTTTTTTTGAGTAAATAATAACACCGTTGGATATCGGCAAATTCAGTGGTTTGGATCTCACGAAGTGACAGGAGAGTGGATTCACATTGCCAAGGAGAAGTCCGACAATAGGACAAAACAACCGTCCAGTGCTTCCAGGTTTTCCATAGTGGTCTAGCTTCAATTGACTCATGATCTCAACTATTAAAATTACTACAATCTCCACAAAACTCTTCTTTGATTATAATCATCATAAGCTCACTAGTGTCTGTATCGAAGAGTTATTTCCTGAAGTTCTAGTGAAATGCAATGACAAGTGGATTTCAACCGGGTCTGTTGTGAGATAGTAACTTACCGAAGACAATAGTGGATGTGTCACTCAATTTTGTGGATCGGTTAACTCATGATATCAACCATTGAAATATTTATTATCAACTATTTTCTTTCCTATAGTCATCAAGATCAAGATAAAATCTTCGTTAAAACTAATGTCTTACTGTTCGTCAGAAAGGGATTGTGGGAATTGTTGAATTTCACTAAAATCATGAGTTGATCAATCTTAGACCACTATTGATAACTTGGAAGCATTGAACGGCCCTTTTGTATGAGATCAAAGATGCTGAGTTCAAGTCCTGCATGTGGGATTATGGATGCACACTGCTGAGGAGTATCATAATCGGAAGAAATGATCTTCTAGTGATTCCAGATTTTCATTGGTAGTCTAACATTGATCGGTTCATGATTTAAATAAAATTTTACAAAATTAATTCATGATGAACCAAGTTCATGATGACTTGTGTAATTATTCATATCCTGATTAATTCATTTTAGACTGAAATGTACAAATGAAATCTTGATTTAGTTAATTAACTCGAATGTAAATGGTTTCAGAGCTAATTTTTATTTAAAACTCTGATTTATTTTTATATTTTTTGACTTGATAAATGATAAATTCCACTAGCCGGCCTTTGCAGTGTTACAAATAACCACATTCGTCTGACTAAACATTCATCCATGTTGTAAACAACAAATACATCAAACTACTAATAAACTGAAATAAAATCTATGTAATAAGCAGAAATATTACGAAAATCGGCGTGAGACAAAATAAAAATGCTGTTAATAGCTGATAAATAATGACATACAAAATCCTCGACAATATGTAACATGTGATCGAAAATCCATGGCTTAACGTCCTGACCGTGCCATCATGTGAACGCAGATTACTATAGAATAATTGTGTTGACAGAAGTTTTTGACCATGATGTTGTACTTGGGAAAAGTCACTTAATAATATTTATGTTTTGTTTTTTTATGCATCATTCTGAAAGAGCATTACTGTTATATCCTAGTGAGGATTAAATTACGGGTATACTGTGAGATCTATTAATGGACTAGTATTATCTATATATTCTTATGGTATAACTATTTAGTAATTAGATTATGTATATTTATATTCATCTTATTATAAGCTTCATCTTGACCTAAAATTTATTATTATACGACTTAATGTTCTTAAATTATACTCAGTTTAATAATTACTGTCTCCCACGTCCACTGACAAACGAGAACAGGTACTTTCAACGTGGTTCACATTCACAGCCACTTTTTGGCTTGATCTTGTATAAATGTTATTTCCTATTTTATAGTGTGATACGGTCTGTTTGACTGATATGTAAACAATATATATCTGGAATAAATGATTCGCATAGCGGAAGCTGTTATTGATGTTTAGGACTCAACTGGATGAGCTAGGCGAGCAACGAACCAATAAGGACGCTAGGCTGATCAGACGTGTCGAACGTCACCGTACAAGAGTGAATAAGTCGTATTTCGATTAGTGAATAAATTACTTAATAACAAGCGGGCTATAAAGTCACAACAATTACCATCGCTAAACAAGTAGACTTTTGAAGTCTACAATTTATGTAACAGATTAAATGAATAGAAATCAACCTTTTGAGTGTTGAATATCATTCAAATCCTTTTTTAGATCACGTCACCAATGAATATGGGTGTCAACAATGATATAACAGCATTACATATAAACGAAATACACTTTAGAAACAGAAACGATACCAGCATAATAGATAGACAATATCACAAATCACAAATCTATTTATTTGCTTACACCTAATCGAATTAATTTAACCTGATAATATGTAAACAGTATTTTATTGATCTTTATTATGATGTAATATTGACTTTTAAAAAATATTGAAGAATAGAGGAGACAAGACTGTTATTCTGATGTGAACTGGTTCAATTCTTAAATATCATGAGTATCATAATTTAGATTCCTATTCAGAATATGAGTATCCCCGAATGCCCTGGTACGGCCAAGAGTGGGGAAAGTCAGCCCACACTCTCAAATTGCTATCACATTGCCACATGCATACAACTACTACCACACAAGTCCTACTCACTGCCTTCTCGAGACATTACTGTTGTTTACGAAATCGAGAAGACGAATAGAGAATGTCCGGCGCTTTAACCAGTTTAGTGGATATGGAGGGTTTACATAGAAAAGTTGGAAAACCCTAATTCCGAATCAATGGTGCACATGGGCTCCAGGATTCCGAAGGAACGAATGATATATGAACCAACTGTTGGTCACCAGCTACAATGGAATTGCATCTCCTTACGTTGCTCCACTGCTTTGTGGATTAGACCTTTAGGTCGAAGGTTAGGGATGTAGACCCCTAAGAAAACCACGTGCTTTGGTTTGGGCACCCAGGCATTATTCCAGCCCTCACATAGATCGAATAACTTATGCTGCGCATATCTATTTGACGCCTCTCTGTACCGATGCTCATATGCTTAAATAAATTAAATAAATCCCTTGATTTACTGGAGGACTAAGTGTTAAATAATTCGGAGATTCAGCATCCCATACCAATCTGGATCTTAAATAGTTAGCAAGTTATGATAATCATTTATAAGTGAACCGATTACTTTCAGTTTACCTAAGCACTACATACTACTAAGTTTAGTCTTCTACTATTAATAATTCACACCTCTTGGTAACAATAATCATAACCTGATCAAAGTTAAAATAACTAAACGTAATTTTATGTTCTAATTAATCATTTCATGTTTGCCTGAATATGATTCAGAACAATGTGATATTCTCATTATAAGTTTGCTTTAATTCTTTAACTAGCCATCAAAAGGTAACAGACAATGAATTACAATTATGTACTATGGTGTTGTAATTAAATCCACTTACCAAAATTATGTGATATATTAGTACGATACATTTCATACAAATTAATTATATATAGTGTTTTAAGAACATTTCTATAAAAATAATTAACGGTCGGCTGGAGATATTGGAAGGTTAGATGATACAAAAATATATTAGTGTGAAAACCTTTGTGAAACTCATCATGCTAGATAAATCAATATTAAAAGGGTAGGTATATTTCACCTTGATTTCTTTATTATTGTTGTTTCATCCTATCTTTGAGTTAGTTCAGCTGACTTCTAATTTTTCACATAATATATAGTGACAAGCCGTAACTAGTATAGTCCAGCAATGTCTGGTGTAAGACGGTCATCCATTTCAGACAATAGGTGACCATGCAATATTGCTAATTAATTGAAGTTAGACTTCTAGACAACTGGACCTCACCTCGGTAGTTTATGGGTTAATCATTTGCACACAAAACTGATGGCCTAGGTTTTGATCCTCGCTTGCAGATTCGTGTATGCGCATTAATGAAGAGTCTCATAATAGAGTGATTTAAACTATGCATATATGAATGTCTCAAAGAGTATATGTGTGGTCGATTTGTTCTAGATGTATTGCGCTAATGAATAACATAGTTTTGGTAATCTTCGTCTTTTCATTATCTAAATCTATCAAAGCGATTAATTATTTGAAAACCCATTTAGTTACTTAAAATTCGCAACTTGTAATTCGTTGAGATCTCTAAGTGATAACAAATTGGTCATTACTCTTTAGTGAGATGATTGTGTAAGCTTCCTTGAAAATGTTGTTCTTCCGTTTTTCTTTCCTTAAGTTTGATTGTATAATTAGGAGGTGGACTTCATGACCGATCGGCAGTGTTCGAACCGATCACAAAAGACGAGTAGATCTTGATCACAGAAATTAGAATGCAACCTAAGTATCCATAAGATTGGTTCAATAACAATATTGACTAATATACCATAAAAGAAGGACAGTTCCCTATGGTTCAAATATTTTGACATTTTACATCTTGTCTCATTTTAACTCATTATTTTTATTCCTGTGAATGAGTCCAACATTTTCACGAGCATGTATTCCGTATAAGTTGAAACGCCAGTCAACTGTGACATGATTTTCAATAGCTTCTTGGTAAAATTTAATTAATGAATATCGATTAATTTCAATTGTTGAGATCGTGGGTCGACTGAAGCTAGACCACCATGGAAAACATGGAAGCACTAGACGGCTGTTTCATTCTATTGTGGGACTACACCTTGACAGTGCGCATCCACAGTCCAGTCTCGCGAGATTCCAACACAGGACATATTGGTCGCGCGCGCAAGCACTTAAACACTAGACCACTGAGCCGACCGGCATCCAACAGAGTTAATGTCTAACTCCAATTAATCCAAGAAATTGAGTGACACATCCACCATTGTCTTCAGTGATTTACTATCTCACAACAGACCCGGTTGAAATCCATTGATCGCTGCTTCTCACTAGAACTCCAGGATACACCACTTGAAGCCAGTCACTAATGAGCATATGTTGA